ACATCATAACATAGCACAGTATAACAACATAACATAACACATCACATTATAATGCAACATAATATATTGTATTATATTATGTTCTGTTGTCCTGTGTTGTGTTGTGTTTTAATTTTTTATGTTATGATGTATTCTATTATATTAGGTTGTGTTATAATGTGATCTGATATAGTATCATGTGTTATGTTATGTTGTGTTAGAATGTGTTGTATCATGTTTGATTGTGTTATAATTTTTGATGCTATATTATGATGTGCTATAATGTGCTGGGTTGAGTTATGATGTCTTATAATGGGTTTTATTAGGATATGTTGCGGTATAATTTGTTTTGTTGTTCTATGTTATGTTACGATGTATAGTGTTATATCATGATTAGTTATGTTATAATGTATTGTGTCATGTCACTACAATGTGTCATGCTATGTTATTTATGTTATGTTGTGTTACAGTGCATTGAATTATGTAATGTTGTTACATTATGTTGTGTTGTAATATGTTGTGCTATGATATTGTTTTTTATAATATGTTATGTTATAATGTAATGTCATGTTAGGGTGTGTTATAATGTGTTGTATAGTGATATGTTGTGATGAGTGCAGTGCTGTTGTGCAGTGATATTTTGTGTTGCAATTTGTTGTGTTGTTAATACCATATTTGTTAGTGTTACCATATTTTGTGTTATTTGCTTGTGTCGATCATTAAGCATCGGCCACTTTGATCGCAGAGAGCGCTCAAAAGTGTTGATCATTGGGCATCAGCTAAACCGACCGTAAATCGCGTGCGCTTGTGTCGAATCTGTTGTTACGTTAACAGGTACGCATTGTATCTGTTGCTACGTTAACAGGTGCGCATCGACTGTCGATCATTAGGCATCGGCCACTTTGATTGCAAAGAGCACGCGTCAGTGTTGATCATTGGGCATCGGCTAAACTGATTGTAAATCGCGCGCGCTTGTGTCGATCATTAGGCATCTTTCACTTTGATCGCAAAGAGCGCGCATCAGTATTGATCATTGGGCATCGGCTAAAACGATTGTAAATCGTGTGCGCTTGTGTCGATCATTAGGCATCGGCCACTTAGATCGCCACTATGCAGAGGGTGGATGCAGCGTCGCCAATATATGGATTTTTTAGCCCAAAGCGTCACCGGCCATTTTAAAGATGCGTCGCCGGGTAATTTTTAATGACTAGCCATTTACACTGAGTAATGATGAACTGTTTACAAGCCACGAATTTATTACAAGGTTGCATGCACGTGTTACCCCAAATAACAGTCCGATTGTACAGCAAGTGTCAACTGAACAAGTAATAAAGCAGTCTGACCGCTCTAATGTGACCGAAACTACGCAATCAAAAAAACGTTGTTTACATTTTTTGCAGGAACTCATCGCAACTGATTTCCGGACAAGCTTCGCTGCATCGTAATCCATCCAACGTACCGGAAACCTTACTTTTTTCTAAATAGTTGGCTGAAGACTG